CGGACGCAAACCTGTCGAAACAGTGGAAGCAGTTTTGCCGGCGAGGAGATGCATTAAATACCAAATCGAGCTATGTGTACATGAAGCACTTTACCAGTGAAGGTATTGAAAATAATACACAGTTCTAAATGGGTAACATATTGTGTATTTTCATATTAATTGCATTTAATATTGCTTTTGTAAACGCCTTAAGTTTTGCAAAACCTGGTGCGGTGCCTACCATTTCCGAAGAAAATCTGGGGGAAAATCAGCGTGCGAAAAGAGCTCAGCACAGGGAAAACAAAATAATTGTCAGCAAGTTACTTGAGCAGAGTGAGACTGCCGTTGCCACTGTAGGTAACAATTTGCATTTATATAAAGTTATATAAAGCTGTGCAGTCAACAGCTGTGGAGTTACTGTCCACAAATATAAATATGCACTCTGCATGGCTTTTTACAATGGCAAGTCCAAAAATTCACTTTGCTGCACACCTTCCTTTTGGTCTACATGAAATTGCAAACACTGTTAATACATCCATTTTTTCATGTGCTAAAAATCGTACTTACCTAAAGAGCTACATGTCCAAAATTATTGCTACGTGTTCCTAATTAATCAATCTTTGTATATTTATTGATTCCTGCAAAATTGGGCCTTGTAATATTAAAATTAACAAATTTTTCTGCATTGTTTACATATTTTTCTATGCGTTTTGGCTTTCTCTCTCGCAATTGCACCAAGATGACGTCACGCAAAAATTACGCTCAAAAATCCTCTCTCATTGGCGCAATCTTGTATTCTATCATTCTTGAATCAAAGGGAGATAGTTTTGAGGCAAATGTACGTTTTGCGCATGCGCAGGTCTTTCATGTATTAGTATCTGTGAATATATATGACGNAAATTACGCTCAAAAATCCTCTCTCATTGGCGCAATCTTGTATTCTATCATTCTTGAATCAAAGGGAGATAGTTTTGAGGCAAATGTACGTTTTGCGCATGCGCAGGTCTTTCATGTATTAGTATCTGTGAATATATATGACGAACATGATTCAATAATACAAGGTTGGATAAATATTGACATTTGTGTCAATCGACTGCCTTGTAAGGTTGCATTTGAGAAGGAAGAGAAAGTGTGTAACCATTTTATCCCTTTTTGTGAAAAGGTAGTAGGACTGCCAGACTCCTAAAATGCGTTTTTTGTATATTAAATTGAATTAAAATATTAAAGCAGATTCCATTGATCTACACAATAGACAACGAATTAACTTGTTTATGGTGAATTAAGCATGCTATATAGATATTAAAAATGAAATAAATGAAGAATGAGAGAATTTTATTCACATAAAATTCTGACCAAAGAAAAATTTTATCGACAAATATTCCCAAATATTCAAAACAAACCATGGTTTCACTAAAACTCCAGTATATATTAAATAAAATTAATGGAATTCAAACAAATACCTTATTCAAAGGGTCTAAATTACACACCGTCTTGAAAAGAATCACAACTCCAAATTTGGCATTTTTGATATTATGCGCTAAAAATGTACACAGAAAAGCTACCTTTCAGCAAAAGCTGGATAAAATTTTTGTTATAATTTGTAAAAAAAATCTAAGGTAAAGTCGCCCTAGCCCATATGAGTATCATGTGCTAAGAAATAGTTTTTCGCATTTTCTGACAAACGTATTATTTTGAGTTGTGACTCTTTTGAAGACAGTGGGCGATATGAAGAAGTATACAACTAGTAAAGATGCAATTGAAACAATGTACATAAATTAATATTTTCAAAAAATTATTATATTTGTTGCATTTAAAAATTACATGTTCAATATCTTAAATTGAATTACATTTGGTGGACGGACACAAAGTGATCCTGATCTGCACAAGAAAAAAACTTTATTGACATTTATACTAGGTTCACATATAAGTAGATTATCCTCATTTTCGAGCTTAACACCCTAATCTGTAATTATAACAAGAGATTAGCCATATAAAATTCGTCCCTTGTTAATCTGTAATTATAAAATAATTTCAGATTTAACCGATAACTTTTCGGTGTCCATCCTAGTTTTATCGATTGTTTTTGCGAAAGAGAGGAGAAATGCCAAATGTAAAAGTAAACAAAAATGTACGCTAGCAAGTAAAAGAGGTTTGTAAAGGTATTTTTAATAAAATGTTAAGTTAAAATATATTTATATTGCTTATTATAGCAGAAAAACGTGATCACGGTGGCACAGAGAAGAAACATAAATTTTCCTTGAGATGCGAGAATAACAAGCACAACAAATTTGACGTCTAATAATCTGAGATTTGCCTGTGTTAACGGGGTGATTAAAAAACGAGCTTTGATTGAGATAATATTGATATGTGAACATAGTTTTACTTTTTCACTTTTATGGGGTGGTATACTTACTTGTAAGTATGTAACGGCTGCACTTCACCAAATAAATCGGTGCAGCTGTAATTTCCAGTGGACTGCACCAGCGAAACGTGGACGGATACACAGGATTGGTAACGGCTGCACTTGCTGCAAAACACAGGTTTTTGAATAACTCCGATACTCTTCAAAGAAATAAGTTAATTTATTGTTTTAATTCAAAATAGCTCCATTATTTTTGATTTTTTGGCATGTTTACTTGAATTTTCGTAATAAGAAAATCAATTTCCACGAAACAATCGATGAAACTATCGGCAGTGTTGCCTGTTGAACTTTTTATACGAAGACAATATTTCTCCTTGTCTTTTAGTAGTAGTTTCTATAAATAAAAAAAAGAAAGCAACACAGGCTAAGGCAGAATGCGGAAGCGAGACAACTGCCAGGTTATCCAACCTTGTGTTATTGAATCATGTATGACGAATACATTCAGGCGAGTTTGACGTATCCTCAGTAGGGTTTGAAAAAAAATTTGAAAGGGATTATTTTACTCTGGGGTGCTTAAGCCCCTTTGTTGACGATGTTTACTTATACAAAGTGAAACTTTATGATGAAGTATTAAAATTGTATTTTAAAGCTACCTGGAAATTAAAAAATCGTTTTGAAAATTTGTAAAATGATAAGCACTTTGTTATTTTGGAATGTTTAATTCAAATATATATTTCCATTTTTCGCTGAGTACAAATTTACTGACTAACCAGTTAAAAACGGATAAACAACTATAAAGACTCACTCAAAATTGTAGTGATCTTCATATAATATTCGCAATGTTTTTCGTTTGGGTTTTTTCGCTATTTTTTTATAAAACTAGAGCTGATTATATAAAAAAATTATATAAATTCAACTTCTAAACTTTGTGCAAAAAGTAAAAAAAAAATCAACAAATTTTTATTAGAATTGCAAGTTTTTTAGCTAAAATTTGTAGAAATACGCATGTGAAGCTAAATATATTATTTAATTTATCCCCTCTTTTCGGAGTATTTGTTTTTTTTATGTATGTTACCGCATAACTTTGGACCACGTCAACCGATTTCGATAATTCTTTTTGCATCGGAAAGGTAGTGTCTAATCAGGTTTAGATCAGGGATGATGAGTTTTTATTTTTTTGTATCCAATGGACACAAAGATTGTACTAAATCAGCCAAAAAAGTACCAAAATTTAAAAAACCATACATACATATGTATATGGGTAATTTGAAAAACAAAGTGTATGTACATGGCAGGTATTTTATATATTTTTTTAAGACTGATAACTTTATCCTCTAAAATCGTTTACTGACGTGAATACGAAACTGCTTTCAGGCTCTTCAAAAATTAATTTTTGTTCTTATTTTTGCATTTTTGTAAAATATTTTTCAGAATGTAATATTTGCATATTACTGTTAAACTCATTTATCAGATAAGCTAATGTTGGAAGTTTTTTCCACCTTCTTCATGACATTAACGTAACGTTTTTCTTGGGAGGCAGGTTTTTTGTTTAATCTTTCTTCTATAACAACTTCCCATATAAGCCATTTGAACACTTTTGGAGAAACAAGCGGTTTAAAAAAAAATCCTTTTCCACCTTAAAGGGACCTTCTGGATATATTTCACTTTTTTTTTCTAAAAGTCTAGTTTCACGAAAATATAAAATCAAGGAAATCATTTAAACCCCTGAAGCAATAAATAGGCATTGGTAATTATCTTATTTTTATTGTTTTTTGCATAAAAAACAGGAATATTTTGCCTTACTTGTTAATATTAAATACCATTTTCTTTATCAGCATTAATTAATCACTCTGCTTTAGTTTGAATAATTTTTTGGTTCGGCCAGTATGTACTGCACCAAAAATCTGGAAAATTTTCTTCTGTGGACTTGGATGCGTAACGTTATATGTACTGGTACATATGCACAGTTTAAAAAGGCCATCAAAACCCTACGTTTCCATTACAAATCAATAATTCAAGTTAATCAACAAAACCATACAAGTATGTTTATTAAGTGCAAGTAACACAAAAATTTTGCAAAGAAACAGCTGCTTATATTATAGCAGCAACTGTTTGATGAATTTAAGAAGTTTTTCGTTTTTAAGAAACACCACGCATTTATTTGTATAAAGAAGGAAAAAGAGACTGTATTTTTATCCACAAGTGGTATGTCGTAATGCTGTATTTTGACAAAATTGTATCAAAAATGTCGATGTAGTACCAAATTGTACTACCAATGTACTTTTGGGATTCAAAATGTACCAAAAAAGTGCAATTGTACCATCAATTTCATCACTGGTTTAGATCCGATCAGTGGATCATGAAATATATATATACATATATATTTTTTAAGTCGGTTTTTTTTTGCAAAAAATTACTTGTTTACATACGATTTCGTTTTCTTTTTTTGTATGTCTGTACTGTAATGTTTGCTGAGTGCACTTGTAGATACTGCCAATATAGAAGAATTACATATATGCTAATAATTTACAAAAATTTTTAAGTAATAAAAACGATGACTTAAGTTGATTATAGCTTTTTTAATGTTATTCCTAACATTAGCATTCGCATTCACACATTCGCATTCCGAAAATTCGGCATTCGAAACATCCCTAATATGTATGTAGGATAAGTGATAATTTATGTATTTAGAATAAGAATTTATGTACTATGTAAATAAAGGTTTTGGACAACCAGAAGTGAGTCTTTTGCCGAAATTCTCTTCGCGGGTGTTGTGTTTTAAATTAAATTTGCGTTGGCGTGCAGATATAAGGCTAGCCATTTCTAATATATTCTGGTCGCAAAATTTGTAAAAATGGAAACTTATGTATTTGAATTTTAAGAAAATAAGGCCTTTAGCAAAATCGGCTAAAACGGCTATTTTTTTGCCAGATGACTAACGAATCGGCTGCCGGCCAAACCAAACCGGATAAATGTAGCCGGGAAACGGATAAACTGCCAACACTGGTGTTAACCGTCGTAAAATCTTAAGCTTAACATTTTTTCATGTAAAATAATGATTAAAATGGTTTTAGAGGATTTCTAACTACATCGCAATGTTTTCAAACTTGTAAAAAATATGTAATTAGCCCCCTTCCCCCTGAAAACATTTTAACCATTATTTTATATAAAAAATGTTAAGCTTAAGATTTTAAGACGGTTAACACGTCTTGCGAACCCCCTAATTGTGTGAGCGCCAATCTATTTATGTTTCTTGTATCCGAAGACAACTATACTTCATTAGAAACCAATATCTTAGAATATGTGCACACTTTTTTGATTGTCTTAAAACCAGTTCTTTGTGCTTTGATTTTATTAAATAATCAACTTAAGTCATAAAATGAAACGAAATATGGTGTTATACATATTAAGCAGTAATATATGTATTTTCAGTTGTTTTAGTAAGGCAAACAGAGTCACATCTAATTTTAAAATATTGAAGATTGTAAGTATAATTTGATTAAGTACTTTTTGGTCTGGTGACAAACTAGAAGAAAGCATCTGAATTAAAAGGTTTCTGTACTTATGCATTTTGGACAATATTACATTTTTGCCAAGTTGAGTTTTTCAACTGTAGCTTGGACACACATTTAAATACATACATACATGTATACATATGTTTTCCCAAAGTCTACAGATACAGTCTACAGTGCACTTTGAATTTTGTAATGCTTTTGACATTGAAAGAAACGCATGTTTGCCTTACAGATTCTGCTTTTTGCTCTCGTTATGGTTGCAATCGCAAATGAGGAAGATGTTCACGCAGAATTAAGATCTGATTACCGAAAAATCGACGACCAAGGCCACTTTAACTATGGCTATGAAGCATCGAATGGAGTGGAAGCTAAGGTACAAGGCGATGTAAATGGAATTCAGGGAGAATACTTTCTTCCAGGCGAAAATGGCAAGAAAATACGCGTTACATATACAGCTGATTCCACCGGATTTCATCCAAACGTCGAGAAAAGCTAAATTTGAAATTAGGAGTAAATCTTACAAATATATATGTACATATCGTTGGTTATCTATACTATCTATACTAATCTATACTAATTATATAAAGAGAAGTCCCTTCTTTTGTAACAGGTAATCTCGCGAACGGCTGGTCCGATTTTCATGAAATTTTGTATACAAATAGCTTTCGGTAACCACCATGTTTTAGGCTAAACAAATTTAACTTTTTTCGGGTAGGTGGACCAGGGACCGGTCTATTCGAAAAAATCTTATTATAGTCTGATTTTCTTAAAATTTAGTACGTAAGTAGCTTTTTAGCATATATGACCCATTTTTTTCGGGAAGTGGTCCAGGGACCGATCTATTCGAAAAAAGCGAATTTACGGTCCGATTTGCTTAAAATTCAGTGCGCAGGTAGCTTTTAGCATGTATTAGCATAAGTGATAAATTTTTTCCGAGTAGTGGACCAGGGACCGATCTATTCCAAAAAATCGTATTTATGGTCCGATTTGCTTAAAATTCGGTACGTAAGTAGTTTTTTAGCATATATTAGGATATATGGTCAATTTTCCCGAGAAGTGGACCAGGGACTGATCTATTCGAAAAAATCGTATTTACGGTCCGATTTGCTTAAAATTCGGTACGTAGGTAGCTTTTTAGCATATATTAGCATATATGATCCATTTTGTCCGAGAAGTGGACCAGGGACCGATCTGTTCGAAGAAATCGTATTTATGGTCCGATTTGCTTAAAATTCGGTACGTAGGTAGCTTTTAGCCTGGATAAGCTTATAGATTCCTGTTTTCCAGTTTTCATGCAATTTCGAATATAAATAGCTTTAAGTAACGACCATATCAAGGGGCGAATTCGTCACTAGGCAAGATTTTTTTGCGCCAATCAGAAACAACGGATACTGTCAAAATATAATTATAATATATAATATATCTCAACTAATATATATTTAGAAAGCCGTTTGTTAGTTTTCGCAAGGCTCGAGAGCGGCTGAACCGATTTTTTTGAAACTGCCACCTGCCGCACGTGTCCCAAGGATGGTTTTAGGCTGAAAAAAATCTATATGTAAAGGGGGCGTGGCACTTCCCATACAAACCGAATTTCTCATGCTACATATCTCTGAAAGTGTGCATGGTAGAGTTTTGGAAATTGGTATGGAGATATACGAAATCAATCGCATACCCTTGGAGAAAAATTTTAGCTATTGTAAAAAGGGGTGTGACATCTCCCATACAAACCGATTTTTTCATACTGCTTATCTCTGGAAATTTTTTGGTAGAGTTCTAGAGTTTTGTATGGAGATGTACGAAATAAATCGCATACTCTTGGAGAAAAATTGGAACTATTGGAAAAGGGGGCGTGGAATCTTCCATACAAACCGAATTTTTCATACTGCCTATCTTTGGAAGTGTTCATGGTAGAGTTCTGGAACTTGGTATGGAGATAATATACGAAATCAATCGCATACTCATGAAGAAAGAGGGCAGCTGTTGGAAAGGGGGGCGTGGAACCTCCCATATAAATCGAATTTTTATACTGCATATCTCTGAAAGTATTCATGGTTCAGTACCGGAACTTCGTATGGAGATATGTATATAAAGAATGTACACGAAAAAAACTGGTCGCACATAACCAAGCATAGCTCGGTTAATCATAACATTAAAATAAAAATCGGTAGACACTTAAAAAGCTGGAAGCATTTTCCACCTTACTGCATCATTTCTTTTTAGTAACAAAAATCAGTGTAGAAACGAGGACCAAGAAAGAAATCGATCGCGAGTTAATATTGCGCAAAAAGCTGGAAAATCCCAGCAAGTTCCATAACGACATCGCAAAAAAGCTAAAATTTCCAAAGTCTACCGTTACTTATGTGCTTAAAAAATACAATGAATGTTTATCTTTAAAAAGGGACCCTGGTAGTGGCAGAAAAAAAGGATTTGCTTGCGAAATTAAGGCAAAGGAAGTGTTGTCTGCTTTTAAGAAAAATCCTGGACTTTCGGTAAGAGATGTCGGCAAAAAATTAAACATGTCGTCTTCGTATATACAAAAAGTATGCAAAACAGCAGGACTACGGCGATTTGGCTGTATTGTTATGGATGACGAATCGTACGTAAAAGCCGATTTTAAACAAATCCGGGGCCGCGAATTTCACACTGCAAATAAAAGAGGCAATGTTGCAGATAAATATAAAAACAAAAAGTCAGTGAAATTATAAACGTTGTTTGAGCACTCCACAAAATTTGCATTTACTACAGTGGAAGATTTGAACGCAAATGAATCCCATTTTGTAAGCCGTCAGGAGGAGGGGAAGAACAAAGCTTATATTTCCATAGCAAATCGAATTCGAGGCAACATACGCACCTCTTTTAGTAAAAACGAGTGCAATAATAAAAGCATCTTTTTTATGTAACTTCACATTTTATGTATGTACATATGTATCTATGTGCATAAATCTATTAATTTTATATAAAAAGAATAAATTGCATTCAGTGCATTTCACAGTCTTATTTATAGATAATGTAAACAAAAACGCCTGGACTTCCACTTTGAAAACGNATGACTTTTACAATCATGCACAGTATATTTTACTTAAATTTTTTATAAAATTTTATTATTTAAACCCACGAAAATAACAATTGAAACGTTCTCCGTCAACAAATTTGCAACTTAGAAAAACGGAACTACGATCGAAATGTAGAATAGGTATAATCGTAAATTTCGAAGATTGATCGATAGGAAACGGAACGCAGAATACCAAAGTTGCCAAACGGAGAAAATTTCGATTCGAGTCGAAATGCAGAATAGGGCTGAATAATAAATTACTACACGTACACAATTTTGTTTGTTTCCAAATTTATATGTACATACATATAAATTTAATGATATTTTTATTTTACAGGATTTAACTTCATATTTGCTGCAGGAATTTTGGAGAATCTATGTATATTTTCTGTTTATTTTTAAATGAATTATTAAATCTATGCATGTTCCAACTTATTTTATTGAGTTTTTGAAATGTTTTTTTTTTAAAGCGAATTAAAGGAATTTTAATAAAACAAAATACCGTATTCAAAAAATCTATTTTTTACACCAGTTAGTACAAATGATACCGCATGGCATCATTCTAAAAAAACACTTTAGAATCAGATTTTGGAAAAAAGTAAATTGAATCTTATTATATTAACTATTAAGGGCCATTTAATAATAAAATCGGATTTTTAAAGCCCGAATCTAAAAAGATGTACCGTAAGGGTTAAAAGCGTAGTGCACTCAAATATTAGAGCACAACGTCCTCGTCTGAAATCTAAAGAATTACTTAGTGCCCCTTGTATATGAAATTTATTCCAACAATATTTTTTAAATATAATATGTGCCTATGTATGCTTAATTTTTACAATTTATTCTATTAAAATATACACACGCTTCATATATGTATTTAGTATACATATACATACAAGTATTTATATGTAAACAAATCAATATTTCCATATACATACATACATACATACATACTTTCTTAAAACAATTATAATTTAGAAGTAGTAGAACCAGACGATCCAGATTTTGACAATTGCATATCTACGGAAGGAGGATTGACTAGTTTCCGAATTGTATCGAATTTTGGATTATTTTTATCACGAAGCAAATTAAAAATTATACTCTCACTTGTTGTAATCACACATCCGGCATCTCGCAAACGATTCAAAGCCAGATCACGATCTTGGTTTAAGCGCGAGGTACAACAGTCGGCCACAATATAAACGTTAATACCGTTGTTTAAAAAATCGATGGCTGTTTGCTCCACACACACATGAGTCTGAAATAAAAAAAGATGCATGATACAAATGAATTTGTAGCAACATAACTCATAATCACTTCAGTTTTAAACCAGTTTTGGTTCTTTATTTTTAAAAGGTACTCTTTGGCCATTACAGATTAGATACCACATGTAAATATGTATTTAATAAATAAATCAGGAGCCAAATCTGACTGTTATTTCCCAACTACAAATTAACATTAGTATGAATGATGAAAACCAATTTGAAATATTTTTTTTTAATTTGCCTGATAACTGTTATGAGAGAAATAATTTTCACATTGGCTTAGAACAGTTATTAGCGATTTTATTAGTTTTCTTTGATTCACAACCATTAAAAAAAAAAGTGAAGTTCAAATCCTGCAGGAGGGCAGAACTCTATCTAGATATACTCTATCGCAATGGATACCAATACCAACCACGGTTTGAGAGAAAATGCATTTTTGACAATTATCCAAAGTAGTTTCTTAGTTTTTATCATCAGCCAACTTTTAGACTTTCACCTTTTTTACCGGAATCCTGCGTTTGTTTACATTTGGTATACACAAAATACACACATACACATTTTATTTTATAAACAATTTGCGTTCAACAAAATATCGACCAAAGTAAACAGGGATGGCAATTTTTTGCATTTAACGTTAGTTGAACCATGCAAAGGCCTTTTAAGCCTTATTATTTCATTTAGTCTGTTACAATAGTAGTCCGGTTTACAGGATTTAGTCAGAACTTACAGGAAGTCGTTCCTATAGGCATAAAACCTGGAAGGTAGGTGTTATGCAGAAATTTTGTTTGGCAAGCTGTGTGCTTTTGTTGTTGCAACAAACTCCGCGAGAGCGAGTTTGGCGACTCTCACAGCAAACTAATTTTGTTGGCCCAAACTGGGGCCAAACTGCGGTAAAATTAGTGTTGTTATACACAATTATGCAGTGATACTAAAAGACGGAGAACTAAATTTATGCTGTAGGAGCTTCAAAGTTTAGGGCACTGTTTTTTGCCTATACGATATTATAAAAAATATTAATTTTTGCACGATACGTACATTGCAATTTTCATTTCGTCGTGGCAATAAAGCATAAAAGCCCAAATCCAATGTGTAACCTTATGCCAAACCCGGCGTAACCACCTCAAAGCAAACTAAGCAGCCGCCATTTAATTAGCCGAACAAAAGTTTGTCTGCATAACACCGACCTAGGGGAACACTTTTCAGAGAGTAATTGAGCAACTATTCCTAGTCAGAAGATACAGGTAGTCTGTTCCTTTGAACTTCGGACTAAAACCTGTGGAACTGTCAAACAGTTATCAGACTTCTACCGCATTGTGGTAGATCTGCCACGTTTTTGAGCATCTACCACACAAGGTCTGAAATCTACCACATATTCGCGTTTTTGAGTAGTCTTATTTTTGCTCGACATAATTTTCTTAATTTTAAGAGCAAAAATTGTCCAACACTAAACACTAACAACAGGCAGAATAGGAGGATAAAATAAACTGTAACAGGCTAAACTAATATTCACGCACGCCGCCAATTTACTGTCAAAACTTTCTCATGCACATACTTGTATGAGACCAACCGAAATTGAACGGCGTGCGTACGAAGCTAACTCAATTTACAATTTTTGTTCTGCGTGACATTTTTATTTGACGTTTCGCTCAATGAAATCAAATGCAAACGCACGCAAGCCAATTTCGGGTGACGCAAAAAACAAATTCGAAGGTGTGCGTACCAAAACGCAAGCCGCGAATATTAGGTTAGCCTGTCAAATAGTAAATTTTCTCAATATTCAATTTTTCGACAGGAAACGTGGTTTTATTGTGTTTGAAAAATTTATGATTTATAAAAAGAATTAATAGCGAAAATGTTAAAAAACGGCAATTTTTGTGAAAGTATTAGCAACTTTCAGTGCATCTAAAGTTTCTAAAGCGTTGTTTACTTTTACTTGAGAATTGTCAAAATCGGCAAATCCCAAGTAGAGGTTTCTGGAACGTGCCACATTTGTTCTCTACATCGTGATGTGATAAAAAGAAAAGCTGGCAGCACTCCGCAAGGTCGCAGAAATCTTTCAAAATCAGCCTTATCATGAGTTTCTTTTTCCCCGAAGCGGTTAAATTTTCACTTATGGTTTCCATGTGTTTACTATAGGCGGAATAAAAATTTTCGGATGAAATTTTTTTTCGGGCGAAACTCAGGATAAGGCAGAATATGTTCGAAAAATATCTTGATATGGAAGGAAGTGCTTCACACTGTCAAGGAAAAAAATTGCCAAAATTCAAAGCAATTTTTAGTAACTTGAATCTTGCACTTTATTATACTAAACTTAATTTATTTTTTTAGATTATAAATAAAAGGTTTGCAATTTAGGTGAAACCTTGCAGAATTTTTTAAATTTTTGTACAATGTTTGATCCAAGACCTGAGATCTACCACATTTTTTTTGAAATCTACCACATTTTTTCCAGATTCTACCACACAAATTCTTTTTAAGTCCGATCACTGGTTTTATGTCAATAGGAACAACCTCCTGTAAGTTCTGACTAAATCCTGTAAACCGGACTGCTATTGGAACAGACTAAAAGCCTGATTATGGCAACTTAATTTAACTTAATGGAACGTAGAACAATAGAGAATCAAAATGAAACAGATTTCGACGTGGCATTAAGTTACGTTAAGTTTCGGCTGTTCAATTATAAGCAACACCCATTTTTAAGAGAGCCGTAAATTACGTTAAGTTGCCATGATCAGACCATAAGGATTTAGTCTCGAGCAAGGCATATTACCCCACGTCTCCATTTTCTAATAATATGTCGTACAATGAAAACTGAGTTGTCAGCTAATGTTAAGACAGCGATGGTAAGAAATTCGGTAAGAGAGATATGGTTTAGCAGTGGAAATCTGCGGTCTCCAACTGACATTTCTGTCTTAACACAGCTTTTTTAACATAATCTGTAGAAGGTGGAGACGTGGGGTTAAATAATGTAGAAGTGATTTTGACATTTCTCTCTTTTGAACACCGACTATTATGTCAAATGATGAATAGCTTTAACCCTTCTCAAGTTGGCATTAAAAATGCAATTCTGCAACCCTTTCGTATTCGGATTTTGCTACGAATCGTAGAAATAGTATGCTGCAATCCGAATCGTATTTTCGAACTTTCGAAATTCGGAACAATGACATGCCTAAAAACGAACGAGTAAGCTTTTTTGCGTAATTTTGTACGAAAACAATTCTGTGTCGGAGGCGAAATAAAAGATGTAAATAAATGTGTGTTTGCAAGAAATATTGGTGGTGTTCATTTAAACAAATAAATTTGCCTTTTGCATATACGTATATTTTTATCCACTGTTTTATATAAACAACCAAATAAGAATCTTTGTTGCCCCTTATCGAGAAACTTGGGTCCGGCTTAGTTATTTGTACAACGATTTACTGTTGTTGTGTCCAAACGCATAGCCCGAACCCAAAACCTTTAATATACACGTGTAATCAAAGAATTCACATTTTTTAAAGATAAATGTTTCAAATTTTCTACTACTAGCTTATTAATAAACTCGGTTTGCACTATGCACTTTTTTGCAAATTTCGACGTGGGTTCTGCGCAAAAATACTGTGGACGGCGTAGCCGGAGGGATATGCACAAGAAATGTTGTATACTTCCCCTCTTCCCCGCAACACAGAAAGGAGAATTTTACTTAGTAAGGGTTATAGTTCCTAAGCGCGGCCGAAAGCAGAAGCAAGCGCAACAGGTAGTGGACCAAACAAAGTACATGTTTTCAATGGCTTGGAAGAAGCTGTTGTTGCATTAACTGGATTGAGAACCAGAGCTTCAGGCATAGGAGGAGTTCTGGCTTATGGTTCAACAATTCAACCAGAAGCTGACATAGATGCGCCCATGGTTACTATGCCCGGTAGCTCCACATACCTTTGTGAGTCCATTGCCATAGAGCGCTCTTACTCCGCTGCTATAAACTGGCAAATGCATCAGAATCCATAACTTTCCTCAAAATATTGAAAATCAATAAATTTTACCATAAACAAGCACATGATGAGTGCTTTTTTAATTCCTTTCCACTTTGTTTTCCTTCATTCAGCTATCTTCGAAAACCAACTCATAGCTGGCAATGCTGCACATGTTTCCGCAAGGGTTGCAGCATGTGGATTTTTCGTTTTTCGTAGCGTAGCTACAAATTACGAATTACGAAAATTCGGGCTCTAGAATAAGGGGGATAGTTTTTGAATTGTGTGATTTTTTTTTTGTTTTTCGACCACATCCATTTATAGGTACATATCGATGGCTGAGTGGAAGATCGACCTATCTCGGCTGCCAGTTTGAAAACGCTCTATCTCAAAAAACTTTTAAAGAACGCCCTATTTCAGAATTTTATTGAAAAACACCCTATCTCAAAATTCGGTTCAAAAACGCCCTATCTCACTTCAAAATGTATTGAAAATATGCTGATATAGGGCGTTTTTGAATCGGCAGCTGAGATAGGTCGTTTTGGAAACGAATTCTGAAATAGGGCGTTCTTGAAAAGTTTTTTGAGATACAATGTTTTCGAACTGGCTGCCGAGATAGGTCGATCTTCCACTCAGCCATCGATATACTAAAATAAAAAGGAGCAGGAGCTACGAGCGTTGCGCTGTGTGTGGCAAGAGCCAAGACGTTAAAGTGGTGCGATAGTTTAAGACGCCTAGCGAAGTTAGAATATTTCGTTGGGAGAACCGCTGCGGTGGTCAATTGGAATATTCTTCCCGTGTCTGTCTGTCATAAATAATTTTTTGCATTTTATATACGTGGTTTCCTGTATGAGGTATTCGTTTCTGTCCATATGTGTGCGAATGCAATTAAAATTCTTTGAAGGTAATATTGAAGTAATTCTTAAAATTAGTACACGTACTTATCGTCGTTTAAAGTACAAAACCGCGTATCGTCATTCTGCAAAACCGCGATTGCTTTATAAAAAAGAGAACCATTTTGAAATATGAGTGTTTTTACAGTCTAG